TTGATGATTTTATTTATTGATTATTTGTGTTGAGGAAAGTTTTACTGATGAAGCTTTTGGATTTTGCAGATTTTATTGGAGAAGAAGAGCATTGAAAGTACAATACCAATAGCCAGCAAAATGAGTTATGAAATGTTTTTTGGTTGGTGTAATTGGCAATGAGCTTAGCCCATCTTTTTTTTATATATATATATACTGTGCGAACAAGAAAATGGAACAAATATTCATTTCCGTATTGTATAGCTGTATTTTGTAAATTAAATCATATGTAAGGAACTAAATTGATGTCATCTATATTTATTTTTTATTTTTTGTTATATCTCTCAATTCATTAAAAGATAAAGGTTTATTGTGAAACGTTAAATCAATATTTTATTTTTTCTTATTTAAGTATCTCTTGGCAGTAAAATGGTAAACGAGTTGGACTTCACCCATGCCTTTTCAACTCGAACGGCCTCCGTACTTGCAAGGGGTCCCGGCGTCGGGCCTCCGATGCTTAAGTCAGCACTCGTTCCAAAATGAGATGCCTAAGTCAACACTCGTTCTAAAATGAGAGTTACGCTCCGCCACTTATACCCCTCTAGCGGGATTTATAGTAATTAATAAAGAATTAGATACCTTAGCTCCCTTTTATAGGGAAAGTGTACCTTAGGGCCTAATTTGGGCTTGAACAATACCATCATGCCATGTCACGTGTCTTAGCTCATGTGTAAGCTTATTCTCCAATATATTCATTTTATCCATTAAAATCGGTTTAATATAAAATCATATATCAAATATAATAGGCTTGTTTGTTGGTTAAGCAAACATGAGTTTGCTTGTGAATGTTCGATAATATTGTTTGGAGTATATTAAAATTTAATAGATGGTTTTTTAATTTTTATATTCATATATATATGTACAATATTTTTAATTAAAAAAATTATAATGTGTATTTCAAATTTTGTAATATACCATTTCGAATAAATCAAACTCGAGTTAAATAAATAATTTTAGCAATCTCGCTAACTAAATTATTTGATTCAAATGAATCCAAAAAGTTTACAAAGAAGTAAATGAATAAATTTGAACATGAATTTTGTTCAAATAATAAACAAAAAGAATTCAAACAATGTTTGGATATAATAGAATATGAGCTCGAAGCGCTCCATCACGGCACTATTACAGTCCGTACCAACAAATGAGTTGAGTCAAGTCAAGTCAAGTTTGAATTCTTAATACTCTAACCGAGTTTGTAAACATGCCTGAATTTGGCATACTTATCAAAACTAACGAATTGATTTAAGTTGAGAGTTAAAAAAACTACATAAAAGCCTATATTTCTCCACTAATGAGCTAATTGAGCTCGTCATATTGATTAATCGAGCTAGAACTCGTTTTACTAATCAAAAGAACTGAGTCAACTTGAGGGCCAGAGTTTAACATCAAGTTATATGAATTTTTTATGATCCAGGGGCAGAAATGTAATTGGGGACCAAAGCAACTCCCGGCCAAAACAACGAGGCAAATAGAGGGAGCAGAGGCTTACCGTGGGTTCGCGAAGGAGGGGATCAGCGCCGAGTTGATGATGCAATTAGGATTGGGTGAACCAGAAAATTAGGCGATTAATGAACCGACACGCGCGTGATTGTGGAGCGAATGAGGAGGTGACACGTGGTGGAGGATTGTGCTGTGGGGACCACACATCTACAAAGAAGTAAAAGGGGATTTGATGGCACGAAGATAAGTATTGGGTGAAAATGTATACATCAAAACTAATTGCAATTTGGCCATTACATATGACTAAAATGTGCTATAATTTTTTAGTTAAAAGTTATGTTTCTGATTTACGTATTACTCTCTTACAGAAAAAAATAAATGAAAATACTCGTATATGAGGTTTCCAATATTGTAGGTGAAAACAAATATGTTATTTGATCCATATTGGGTAAAAAAAGTTACTTACATATTTTATTTTTCTGTATGATATAATATATTATCATGCTATGTGAATAAATGTGTTATTCGAGTCAAGTCGAGGTGATTAGCTTTCATTCCATACTTATATTTATTTAATAAACGAATCAAAAGTGAAGCTCGTGAAAGCTATGACTTAGCTCATTGAACAAATATATGATTACAGATGATAGGTTCACGAACATGAAATGTCCATCTGTAAAGTCGTTCTCAACTATTTTATTTAAAACACATAAAAATAATATAAAAGTAACTACAAACTGCTCATTATTAAGCTCGGTTGAACTCATTATTAATAAACGAACTCGATTAGTTGTTCGAGTTGGACACATTCAAGTAAATGATCAAGTCAAACTCGAACTTTCATGCTTTGTATCTAATACAAAAGTTAGATTGAAACTAAACAACTTTTAAATAGTTCTCTATTAGTATGCAAAAATAGGTACGTGACCTAATTTAATACTCCATATTTTTTCATCCCTAGTGGTGATTGTAGTCGGATTTCGCCATCAGACGCACAAATTAAAAACAATTAAAGCAGATAGATTATTTTGGAATATGTAAATAAGTATTGTGATAGTCAGACCTAAAGGCTAACAGTTACTCATTTTCAATAAATATGCATTTGAAATATCATATCTAAAATATATATAAATAAATTTATATGGTCATATTTTTTTAATAAATATGCATCCGAACTGTAATATTCTAAAATTTATATAAAATAAAATCATACGACCATTCATAATATAGATACGAATTTTTGTTACGAAGTATAAAGGCATACAAATTGACCCGACTAACGGTTAGTCTTAAACAAATTGAGAGTCATTTTATGGGTGTAACCATACATGCACCAAAAGAAAGGTTAATTGTGGCAATAGGATTAATAACATTAATGGGCCATCCCAGTTATTAATACAGGTAGTTGGGATTTTAGCATTACATTTTCTTATAGAATGTTTAGCATTTGTAATTTATTGCTGATCTTAAGCGTCTTGTCACGTCTACAAATTAAAAAACTTACAGTATCTTCTTGTTGAGCTAATTAAATCTCAGAATTAACTATAAACTTATATAAATTCAAATTGTCAACCCTAAATAAACTTGTATAATTAGGGACAGATGACAATTCGCAAATTTGATTTTAAATTAGAAAACTAATTAAGATGTTAATGAAATGACGATTTATGATTGTTGCCCTACACCGTTTAAGTTGGTTTTTCTGCTTTCGAACAAAAGTCAACAATGTTATCGATTCTTGCAACAAAGTGCAACATATTTTTTTCTTCAAATCAATTCCATATATTTATGATATTATCAGGGCATGTTAATTGAATTTTGGGTTCATTGTGCTTTAAGAAGGCAAAGGAATTAAATTCACCATATTTTATCCTCATTTAAAAATGTACTATAAAAAATATATAATAACTTCTCTAATCATATATATATCAATTGAGGTGTAAATAAGTCAGAGTCAACTCCAACTCAAGCTTTTGATTATCTTGCTCATACTTGAGCCTTTATTCACTCGATTTTGCTTTGTTTATCTTTATTAATAAGTCTAACTCGAGCCTCAATAAGTTAGCAATAAAAACTTACATTCAACTCGTTAACTAAACTGACATTATATGAGCTTGAATTTAGCTTGTTTATAAAACGAACCAACTCGTGTCGAGAGTTCTTGAAATAAAATTTTATTTCATTAATTTCTTTAAAGATTTTATTCATGATGTCGTGAGGAATAAAATGATTTGCACGTGTGGGTGTCAAATACTAATTTAAAATCGGTCAAAGTATCTTTTTTTATTAGAAAAAATTAAGTACAATTAACTAAAAGTTTAGTGAGCCCCAATGCTGATTTCATATGGGCCGAAGTCCCAGTAAGGGTCAAATCAAGCGGTCCATTTTAATTGTTGTCATCACACACACACACACACTTAATATTAAGTACAATTAATTAAGCCAGATTATGAATAATGGTGGACCTAACCTTCAAAATTAGAAGTTTGATAAGATTAAGACAATCACAATACCCTGAATTTGAGGGTAACAGTTAAATGTCTTAGTGTCGATATGTGACT